AGGAGGGTTTTGGGGTATTGGCAGTTTGGAGGGATATGTTGTGCATCTTTATACGTATATGCTTCTAAGCTGTTGTATTCTGAGCACCTCTGCAAAAGCAGTGATAATGTGTGAGTGTGGTGAAAGTGTTGAATGATGATGAAAGTATTTTCTTTTTGGGGATTTTCTTTCTTTTTTGGGTCACCCTGCCTCGGTGGGAGACGACCGACTTGTTGAAAAAAAAAAAAAAAATATACATACACACACACATACACGTTTGGGGCCCTAAGCGTATATATATCTTTGGACCGTTTAAGTGTTAAAAGAGGAAGGGAAGTAACCCCGGAAAAGGACTTGCTACCTCAAGCCCTGACTGCTGTATATAAGCCACCTCTCTGGCCCTATGCTGCACTTCCTACAAGAGTGATGGACTGAACACATCGATTCCAGGTTGAGGGACTGATTACCTCGAACTCCTCCTCTCCTTACCCATTTCTACTTTGTATTGGACTGATGAAGCCACTGTGTGGCGAAACGTTTCTTCAATAAAGATTCCCATGTGTTGCACAAGTGTCTCAATTCTTCAACTTGTCGGTTTTCTAAACCATTCACCACACTTTATTTTGTAGTTGAAACAGTTGACTTGGCGATTTCTTGTGCTCAGTCGATAGAATAGAAGTAATACTAGTGAAATAGCTAAGAATTTGATCGACTGGAATAATGTAATTGGCCTAAAATGGGAGTCAGTCGGCAAAATCGCCGATTCGTAAATATTGCTGACGCATCAAAATTCGCGAGAGCATAATTTCGCCAATTTTCCATCAAGTTTCGTACTTTTTGTTTTATTACCTTCATGAAAAGATTATCTACCATTTCATAAGAAAAAATAACAAATTTTTTTTTTTTTTGGAAAATTCTTGGACACTGGGGCACCACTACAGATTTTGGCCTTGCACCCTGAAAGGGTTAAAATTAATATTTCATGTAGTAAAATTTTTTTTTTTCATATTTTGCAGTGTCGGGAACCTATTAATTTGATTTCCATTATTTCTTATGAGGAAAATTAATTCAGCTAACAATAATTTCGGCTTACGATGAGCTCTCAGGAACGGATTAATATTGTAAGGCGGGGTCCACTGTATATATGTTCACTTGCACAGCGCCCCAAATATTTTGACAAAAAAAAAATCGTTTTTGTTATAGAAAAAAAGAGCACAAGGTAGTAAGTGGTCCCAGATTTTTTTAATATGGTGCACACCGAGTGTTAAGACCCATTCTATGCTGACCAGGCATCTCGGGGCAATTGTGCCAAATTTGGAGGCAGGAAAATTAAAACATATACAGTGCCTGCACTCTGAAGGAGGGGTGTTAATGTTGCAGTTTAAAAACTGTAGTGTAAAGCACCCTTCTGGCAAGACAGTGATGGAGTGAATGATGGTGAAAGTCTTTCTTTTTCGGGCCACCCTGCCTTGGTGGGAATCGGCGGTGTGATATAAAAAAAAAATAATATACGTTTGGAGCCTACGCGTAAGAACCTATATATATGTTTGGACCGTTTAGGGGTTATTATTTTGTGACACAGAGAGGCACTTTAGGATTTGGGGTCATGACAGTCAAAGGGTTAAGAAAAGAATTAGTCATTCATGTGTTTCGACCTTTAGCTTGGTAACCTGTCCGCACACCATATCTACATATTACTGTATTTTACAGCAAACAAGATGCTCTGGTGTCAAGGATGCTCCTCAGTTCTGACTAGCTAAATTTTTGAAAAAAAAAAAAAAAAAAAAATATATAAATGGTATCCACACTAATAACATTAAGCCTGAGATACGTCACTCCTGACTTTTTTTTTTTTGGGGGGGGGGTTTATCTAAGGTATTTTACACTATGTATGACTATTGTACTTACGTGTGTATCTGTACCTAAATAAACTAACTTCTTTGCTTGCTTGAGCAAGGCCTGGCTGGCAAGAAAAAAAAAAAAACTGAAAAGTGAGTTAAGCTTACAGAAAAGTAATTTAACAATCTGGTAAGTCTCATCTTGCCAGATTGTTAAATTATAATCACTACAAATTATCATCATTACAACATTTATTGTGACGATGCCACAGTTAGTATAACCCTTATGTAATGTGATGCTTTAACCAGAGGTTTGGTAAGTTAGCGGGAAGGAGGACAGGTAAGGATGGAATGTGTAAAAAGGGTGGGTGCGGGTTAGGGGGGGTAATAAAGGTAAGTGGGCCCAACCACTTTGGCATATTTTGATAAATGTGTGTGTGTGTGTGTGTGTGTGTGTGTGTGTGTGTGTGGTGTGTGTGTGTGTGTGTGTGTGTGTGTGTGTGTGTGTGTGTGTGTGTGTGTTATTCAGTATAATCATAAGATGGGGTATACCACACCACCTGTCAGTGGCACACATGTACACAGAGTGCATACATGTTATATGAATTGGTAGTTTTTTTTTTTTTCACAGGAAGCAGGTTGCTTGGACTGGTTGCAGCACACTTGCTTGGGCTGGTGGTCGGTTCAACTGTTTCTGAGGTGGTGTCCTGCCATAGAAGGTTTATGGATGTTACTTGGTTTGCTTGGTTAGATGTAAGGTCTCCATAGTAGGGATAGTTTTATCTGTCTCAAACATAGATTGGCTCTGGTTGTACCCATTCTTCTATATCTTCAGGGAGGTCACTCAGGAACTTTGGTCTTGGGAAGTCCTCCTTGTGGATGAAACATTGGACTCTGTTGGAGGAACATTCTGTGGGTCCTGTGGGGAAGTGCATTGATGATGATGTCATTGGTGTTGGATGGGGAGGGGTTTCTCTGTCTGGTATATAGAGTTCTTGCATGGCATATAATTGTATCTAGTTTGTCTAGCCTGGCATTGCATTGATCTGTTGGATGTGCAGATCTTTCATCCTGACTCTGTCCCTCAGTCTGTTGTCTGGACTCTGTAGCTGTAACATGTTAGTTTTTGTTGTTAGTGACATGGGCACACAAGGATATGAGTGGTACAGAACAGAAAACACCTTGGACAACTTCTGCAAGTGAGAATGGTTGGATTTGAGAGGGAGGTGGCCTCTCAATGATTATATTCTTACTTCTACTAGTGGCCTACATCTTGCCTTCTGACAGTATACAAGGCTCCATACTGTCACTTCAACTTCACATTGTTTCAGACTATGGAACAATACTCTTCTCCAGGCTGAGGGACTGACCACCTCAAAACTCCGTGTTCAAGGGCGATGAACTGATTACATTGTCTTCACGTCTGTACTCGACTGAAGAAGCCTACTGTGTAGGTGAAACATTTCAGAATAAAGATGTGTGTCTTGCCTAACAACCTGTCAATATTTTATACCATTTTAATACTCCCACACAAGGATATTCAAGCATAGGTCTTATCGTCCTCTTGTATAGATGCTTCTTGATATGAGTAGGGGGCCTGATTATACCTGTGTAATTGACTGAGGCAGAGTTTTGCTAAGTTTACCTTTTTGGTGATGTGTGATGTGGATTAGAGTAGTCTGTTGATCTCATAGCCCAAGATCTTATTCAGGTTTTTGATGGTGATGGGTGTACCTCTGATGGAGATACTTGTATTGTTTTCAGTTGTTGTGGCAAAACATCCAATGGTGCTGATGAGGACCTTGTCAGGATTGGTTGTGATTCTCCATTTCTTCTCCCACTTGGTTGTTCTTTGCAATATAGTATTAATTTTTTCTATTATTCTTCTATGCCTGTTTTGTCCAGATGAGGGGGTGGTTGAAACTGCATGGATAACATCATCAGCAAATTGCATAATGATGGTGTTCTTGAATTCATATTGGGGGAGCTCATTTACATATATTTTGAAGACTATAGGGCTCAGGCACAAACCCTGTGGCACTCCCACTGTTGGTGTGAATGGCTCTACTGTCTTGCAGTTGAAGATGGGGATGATGTGTCTACATGTTAAGAAGTTATATACATAAGTCTGAGAAAGGTCCAGTTGTGATCTGGAAGGTTGGCAAGTTTGAATATGAGGCCATTATGCCACAGACTATCAAAAGCTGTGTGTACAGCCAGAGTTGCACTTAGGGCAAGATTGCCTGTTTCCATAGGCTGTCCATATGTAGTGAATTTTCTGCGATTTTTTTTCACTAATTTATTAAAATCCCTATTTGGCATCATTACAAAATGGGAGGAGCTATCCCAGGTGAGGGAGAAGCTAAGAGTATCTTAGTAGTGCTGGAGATGCCATGAAGTAAACACTGTGTTGCTCCAAGCACTACAAAATGTTGTATATTTATGATATTTTTTACTACCGCCAGAGAAACTGTTTAATTACTGGGGCAACTGCAGAAGCAGTGAAGACAGCACTCCTTTCATATGCTTTTACACTTAAATAATAGCTTCAACCTCTAAGAAATTTTTATGATTATTTTTTATTTTTTTATTTATTAATTTTTATATGAAATAGTTTACACAATTCATTACTGGATCATATACAGGAGCCTAAATTACTACACCAAAGCACTTCTCTAGGCTTAGGTTGAGGCCTATAAGCAGTGTAACATTCACCCTCCAAGATGCTGGGTAAATTTTCAACTTATACATAAAATACAGTATAAATGTGGCACCAGCTCCATTTTTTTCTTTTATGTTAGACTGCATTGTGTGTGTGTGTGGAGGAACTTTAACTTTCAAATAATAAGTTAGTCACATATAGTATTAGGGCTGGCTGCAAATAGCATGTCAAACTAATATCTGGCTAGCCAGATATTAGTTTGAAACCCATTCTGGAAATCAGATTTTGTTTTGAACTCACTAATGGTATTTTTTTTTAATTGTAGGTGGTTAATCCTTTGTAATTTGGTACATTTTTTGTTCATATTCACTGTCAGGAATTATTGCATATGAAAAATATAGTTTTGATATAGTTCAGTGATCTCTGTGTGATAATTTTGGTGACTACTCACATTTTTGTATTTAAGGTCTGGTGGCAGTATTAAAAAAAAAAAGTGCTGAAGAATTTCATGACATTTATAGGATGGAAGAGTGGATGTTGTCCAGGCTGGAGTATAGCAGATGATGGTCGCTTGGCTTCCAAAATAACAAGTGACTTGGAGGTCCTCCACTCAGATGGACCACTACTCAGAGCTGGCTCTTCTGTTTTATTTAAGGTAATTTATGCAAATATTGAGTTATTGTTTAGACTAGTCTGTGATTGATAATTATGGTAATGAAAGGATGGAGAAAGCAATAGATATTTTAAGAGAGATGAAGATAATATTTGATTTGTCAAAAATAGATGATGAAATTTAGGCATAAATGGAGGGCATGATTGAAATGTTGAAAGTAGGTAAATATAGTATCAGAATGGTTTGCATGTTTGTTAAATTTCTGTATGAGTGAAGGAAGAATACACAAGGGTATGGCATAAGGCATGTCTAGTTACTTTGTATGAAGTAACTAGACATGCCTTATTGAAAGAATTATGGAAAAGACAGTTTAATTGCAGTGAAACAATTAATTGTGAATTGGACAAAGATAAGAGTCAATTAACCCACTTACTGACAAAATATGTATTTTATAAACCATTTTTAGACTGCGCAAAGAGCCATGGTTACTTGTGAAGACATCTTTATTTTTCAGATATTCTTGTCTATCCAACCACGTTACATGAAGTAAACATACGTGCACATTCAGTCATTTATAAACTCTTATTTTTCTTGCAAGGACAGGTTGGGATTAAGCACTTGCATTGAAACATGTAAGCGAGTAGAACTTAGATAATGAAAAGGAGGTGTTTGTTGCATTTATGTATGTAACACTAGTGAATGTTAAGTTATGGAAATGTGTGTGGTTTGCAAAAATTATGAACAGTAGTGGGAGTTACTAATTTCTGTTTGCAGATAACAGTATTATTGGGTGATTCTAAGAAGTTGCAGAAGTAGTTTGGTAGGGTGTGTAAAAGAAGGAACTTAAAAGTGAATATAGAAAAAAGCAAGGCAGTGAGAATAAGTAAAAATACAAGAAATGAAAGACTTATGGTCAGATTGGAAAGGAGTATGGAGGATGAGGATATAGATTCTTTGAAGCATTGTGTGATCGTAACACAAAATTCTCCTTGGTACTTTATGGGTTGGCAAGGATACTTTACCAGGAATATAACAAGAACAAGAGAACATGATTGGAAATCACACAGTGAAATGATCCATATGTAAAATTAAAGCTAAAATGTTCGTCTACTCAAAAGAGGATCATATACTAATTATTAAAAAGAAATTAGTGACATCTTGACAGAGTAGTGTGGATTATATATTCAGCAATCTTGTCAGTGTTTACATTTGTGGTCCACAACTATTCTACCTACTACCAGCAGATATAAGAAATATTGCCAAATGACATGTACGAGTTTTCAAGAAGAAACTGGACCACTATCTACTACAAGTGCTTGATCAGCCAGGTTGAGACGCTTGTGTTGGCAAGCTGATAGCCAGCAACAACACCTGGTATAAAGACGTTGGAGAATATTACTTCAGCATTCTGTATTTTCTGACACTTCCCCCCCCCCCCTCCAAAAAAAAAAGTCAGAAAATTACCCTGTATCTTATATGCTCAAGGTCAGGAACAAAGGTAAGCTTTGGGTTACTGACTAGTGGTGGTTTCAGTGCTCCAGGACTGGTCAACCGAACTCCAAATATCACCCCTACAAAACTATTTCCCAGATTACTTTAAAGGGATTAGATGAAGGGATTGGAAACTGTTATAAATTATATTATACCTATTACTGGTACATAATGAGCCAATCAGTTGTAAATAATTGTAAAGTAGCTGACTGTAAACAACAGATAGCTATGTTTGGTTGGTGGTTGGGTGGAGCAGACAACAGGCTGTTCAAGGTCCCACATAGTGGGACCTTGAACAGCCTCATGGATAAACAGGAAAATCCAGAAATGTTTTTGCCAAACACTTGTAAGTGTTGGCAGTGCAATATCCTTTCTCTCCCACCTCTTTCAGCTACATGGTGTGCATAAGCAGCCATTTTTCCCAGAATATGCCTGCCAAAATTGTGCTCCTTATATGCCAGAAACTACTGGGAGTTTTTAGGAGGTAGAATGAAATGAGCATATTGAAGAAACTTAAAAAAATAAAAGTAAAAGATTTATTTCTTTGTAAAGGCTACAATATGTAATTACAGTTTTGGTTTGCTAGATACAAAAAGTCACTATCATGCCGGGGCATTTTGGGCAGACTAATCCTAGTACATAATAACTACTTAAATCTAGACAAGATAAGAGTGGTTAACTTTTATTAAAATCTTTAATTAATATTAATGCAAGGTAGTCAAGGTGGAGGTTTATTTATTTATTTATTTATGTATTTATTATCATTTGGACATGATACATAGTTGTACAAAAGAAATACAGTGGTTGAGTGTACATGCCAAAAGTCCCTTGTATGCAGAGCATTGTGGGCAGGCTTAAAATTTATAAGAATAATAATCTTGAATTGTTTTACATGATGGTAGGATTGCTGGTGTCTTCTTTCTGTCTCATACATATGCAAGATTTCAGGTATGTCTTGCTACTTCTTCTTACACTTAGGTCACACTACACATACATATTTTTATTTTTTATTTTTTTTATTAGCACACTGGCCGATTCCCACCAAGGCAGGGTGGCCCGAAAAAGAAAAACTTTCACAATCATTCACTCCATCACTGTCTTGCCAGAAGGGTGCTTTACACTACAGTTTTTAAACTGCAACATTAACACCCCTCCTTCAGAGTGCAGGCACTGTACTTCCCATCTCCAGGACTCAAGTCCGGCCTGCTGGTTTCCCTGAATCCCTTCATAAATGTTTCTTTGCTCACACTCCAACAGCACGTCAAGTATTAAAAACCATTTGTCTCCATTCACTCTTATCAAACACGCTCACACATGCCCGCTGGAAGTCCAACCCCCTCGCACACAAAACCTCCTTTACTCCCTCCCTCCAACCTTTCCTAGGCCAATCCCTACCCCACCTTCCTACCACTACAGACTGATACACTCTTGAAGTCATTCTGTTTCGCCCTATTCTCTCTGCATGTCCGAACCACCTCAACAACCCTTCCTCAGTCCTCTGGACAACAGTTTTGGCAATCCCGCACCTCCTCCTAATTTCCAAACTACGAATTCTCTGCATTATATTCACACCACACATTGCCCTCAGACATGACATCTCCACTGCCTCCAGCCTTCTCCTCGCTGCAACATTCATCACCCATGCTTCACACCCATATAAGAGCGTTGGTAAAACTATACTCTCATACATTCCCCTCTTTGCCTCCAAGGACATAGTTCTTTGTCTCCACAGACTCCTAAGTGCACCCACCGCTCACCCTTTTTCCCTCATCAGTTCTATGATTCACCTCATCTTTCATAGACCCATCCGCTGATACGTCCACTCCCAAATATCTGAATACATTCACCTCCTCCAATCTCTCTTCCCTCCAATCTGATATCCAATCTTTCATCACCTAATCTTTTTGTTATCCTCATAACCTTAGTCTTTCCTGTATTCACTTTTAATTTTCTTCTTTTACATACCCTACCAAATTCATCCGCCAACCTCTGCAACTTCTCTTGAGAATCTCCCAAGAGCACAGTGTCATCAGCAAAGAGCAACTGTGACAACTCCCACTTTATGTGTGATTCTTTATCTTTTAAATCCATGCCTCTTGCCAAGACCCTCGCGTTTACTTCTCTTACAACCCCATCTATAAATATATTAAACCACCACGGTGACATCACACATCCTTGTCTAAGGATGTGTGATGTCACTGGGAAATAATCTCCCTCTTTCCTACATACGGCCAAAACAGTCAAAGGGTTAAAGAGTGGTATAGGGTAAGGAGTGTTGTTTGGGTTACATAGTATCATATCTTGAAAAGGATGCCTACTGATTTGGAAATTTTCTTGGATATATGCTGGATGTGGGAATGAAATTTAAGATTACAGTCAAGGAGAAGACCTAGAAATTTACCCTCATTGTGTTTTGAAATAAGAGAACCATTTATCAATATATTAAGTTGGACATTTAAGGCTCTGTTTCCAAACAGCATGAAGTATGACTCACGAAATCGTAATGACACGATTGCAAACAAACCATACCCCGGCCGGGATTAAACCCGCGGTCAAGAGTCTCAAAACTCCAGCCTGTCGCGTTAGCCACTAGACCAGCTAGCCACAATAAGATTCGTCCAACTAGGTATATTTCTACACCATAGGAAGGTTAGCACAGGCACCACTGTGACCACAAATGCAAGTTTTTACAGACGAATCTCCAGCTAGCTTGGCCGTGATGAACTCTAGCTCAAGTCCCTTCACTGCCGTCAACATGACTCACGAAATCGTAATGACACGATTGCAAACAAACCATACCCCGGCTGGAGATTCGTCTGTAAAAACTTGCATTTGTGGTCACAGTGGTGCCTGTGCTAACCTTCCTATGGTGTAGAAATATACCTAGTTGGACGAATCTTATTGTGGCTAGCTGGTCTAGTGGCTAACGCGATGGGCTGGAGTTTTGAGACTCTCTGACCGCGGGTTCAATCCCGGCCGGGGTATGGTTTGTTTGCAATCGTGTCATTACGATTTCGTGAGTCATGTTGACGGCAGTGAAGGGACTTGAGCTAGAATTCGTCACGGCCACGCTAGCTGGAGATTCAAAAATTTTTTATTCTCTATAAGGATTACAATGCTGAGTTTACAGAATTTGGTTATTGTGTGGTTTACATGTAGTAAAATAATAATTACAGAGTGTACCACTAGAACACCTAGCATGGCTAGGCATTTCGGGCAGACTTAAATTAAATCTTAAGTTTAAAATATTACAAAATTATGAGGTTAGTTGGTATTATGGCTAAGTGACTAAATACTAGTTTGTAAGTTTAGCAATGTGAATGCTTTTGTTTTGGCACTATACATAGTATCAGTATTGGAGTATCACAGGCCAACTTATGACTAGTTAAGATTCATTATTTTGAGATTGAGATTGATATTTCTGTTTATGGTCAAATGGGTGAGTGAGTGTAAGTGTTAACCACCAGGTGGTATTCGTGTAATTAGTTGACAGGGTGTATCAGGGAGATAAGATGTTTTCTGATGGTAGTTTTGAAGGTGAAGAATGTGTC